GAGAACAGTTCGCCGCCCCACAACTGTTCTCTCAACGGCCAAACTCCCTTGGCATGCTTATCTCTCTATTTTGGCCGAGTTCTACTCTTTCCAGCCGCCTCCACAAGCCTGGTAGAGGCTACTGTTGGTGACTTCCGGTGTGCGTATATGTTACGTGGAGTCTTGCAATAATAAGACCTTTATGGTCATATTTACCGTATGTGAGCGAATACTTTAACCTGTAGAGACTAGATAGAAGTGTGGAGGCGATCCCTAACAGTCAGACTTTTAGTATACTGTTGATTGACCGTGGTTACGTCTTGTATACTTTCTTTCACAGACGGTGTCCTACATACACATACAAGTTGACAAGACAGACTACATTCAAAGATGGGAAATCTGAGAATGGGTACCAAGTTTCGCACCACAATGGAGGTGTTTTCGGGCTTGTTCGTTGGCTTTTGGCTTATGTTGATGTTCAACACGCCGCCTAGACCAACTGCTCGGAACTGCACCTTGCCCATCACCAGAACTCAGAGCTTTCATCAGGGAGATTTCGCAAAATTTCAAGAGAAAAAACGTATCTCCATCCCAAAACACCATCCAGGTCATATTTATATCGGAATTTTGACAGCAAAGAAATATTTAAAATCACGAGGTGTGCCAGCCTATGAAACATGGGGTAAACAAGTTCCTGGAAAAGTAGAGTTCTTCTCCGCCTACGACCCCAAACCTCAGATTCCCGGAGGAATCCCGGTCGTCTCCAACATTCCCGGAATCGACGACACCTACCCGCCACAGAAGAAGTCCTTCCTTATGCTGAAGTACATGCACGACTTCTACATCGACGACTATGATTGGTTCATCCGGGCTGATGATGACGTTTTCATCCGTGTGGACAAACTACAGAAGTTCTTACGTTCGGTGAATTCCAGTGAACCTTTTTACATCGGACAGTCTGGAACGGGTAAAGAACACGAAGTCGGAAAGTTAGGCTTGGGCCCGGGCGATAACTACTGCATGGGCGGGCCTGGAGTGATCATGAGCCGAGAGACACTCCGACGAATCGCCCCGTACATTTCCCACTGCTTGAAGAACCTGTACTCCCCGCACGAAGACGTGGAGATAGGCAGGTGCATCAAACGGTTCGCGAATGTCTCCTGTACCCGATCTGCCGACAGTGAACGTATATTTTACAACGACTACAACAGCTACCAAAGAGGTAGCGTAGGGCACCTGAGATCCAGTTTGATTAAACAGGTCATCACTCTACATCCAAACAAAAATTCAAAGGATCAGTACAGGCTCCATACCTACTTCTTAGCCCTCAAACTTGAAGCATTGCAGAAACGGACATTGGAACTTTTTCGTACTATCGGTATCGGTTACATGAGTAGTAGTGAGATTCCAGAGAGACAGTCGTCTGATCAAGCCTCCGATGGGAGAGAAAGACCGTCGACGCCCTCTATCGGCTACAAACCGAAAGACATCAAAGGCGTCATGGCATGGGAATACTTTACACGCAGAAGGATGCATGGATACCTAGCTAGAGAAACTACCAGAAGATTTATCGATCTCCTGAGGTCACGGATAAAGGAGGCATCAATGACGGTAAGAATTGAACATTGTCTTCAGGTGAATCTTGCAATAACTGTATCTAGATGTCCTTAACAATGTGTTTAGAAATAATCTTCTACTGTTTGGTTCAAGATTTTATTGCCTACTCTTGCTAACTACTGACGTGGTTATAACACGTCATTCGTAGAATTTTTGTCCCTGTTTTCCATTTAGTATTCAAATACTCTGATACTAATGAATATGGGAATGACATTTCAGCCTATACGATATGTTCTTTGCCATGAATGCAGGTGTCCGACATTGTGAATAAAGCATCCCGTAAGGAGCGCCGTAGGGTCCAGGTCTACGACTTACAGCACGGATATTGGCAAATGAGCCCTCTCCATGGACTGAGCTACGTCCTTTATTCGTCTCTCCTGATTCGAGAATCTCGCAACCGCAAAAGGAAAACGTTTGCAAATAAGAGGCAGGATTGTTTCCGACAGTCGTTTGGGCGCGCAGTGTTGATGGAAGATTCTGTGGGTAAACAACACAAAACTGTTGTTACACCGCCGCAGCAGCTAGTAATGTCGTCATCACCCTCTTTCCCTCGCGAGGACACGCCCACAGTTCACGTCGTCGTCCCATTGGTCGGTCGGATGAAGATATTTGAAAGGTTCATGCGGAACTATGAAAAGGTCTGTCTCCAAACTAAAGAGAATGTCAAACTGCTAGTGGTGTTATTTAAACACGACGATCCTTCGAAAGACGAAAGCCTACACGTTCAATTGCTGATAGCGTTCTACAAAATGAAGTATCCCAAAGCTTACTTGGAAGTACTGACTGCCAAGGGAGAATTTTCCCGCGGAATTGGGCTACAGATGGGAGCCTCTCACTTTGACAGAAATGCCCTTCTTTTCTTTTGTGACGTTGACCTGGTCTTCCCACAGAGTTTTCTCCAACGGTGCCGTTCCAGAACCGTTGCCAAAAAACAGGTGTACTACCCTGTGATGTTCAGTCAGTACGATCCGCAGTTTGCTTACGGTGGCCAATCAAATACAAGAACGTTATCTCCACAAACCAATCAAAAGCTTCTGACCAACCAGTCAGCATTTAACAGTGAGAAAAATATGGACGATTCGTACCAGTTTAGCAAAGATTCAGGGTACTGGAGACACTATAGCTACGGGATGGTCTGCGTTTACAAGGAAGACTTCTTTCGTTCGGGAAAATTTGATACGGCCATCAAAGGCTGGGGTTTGGAAGATCTGGACCTGTGTGATAAACTCGCAGCTAGCGGAATGAATGTATTTCGCGCGACCGACCCAGGGTTGGTTCATGTCTATCACCCCATGCATTGCGATCCTAAGCTTAGGACAAGACAATACAACATGTGCTTAGGGTCGAAAGCTAATACATACGGCAGTGCCGCTAAACTAGGAGAAAAATTGCTGGAATTGAAGAAAAAAGACAGGACGCTACCCTAGTAGGGCAAGAACAACGATTTTAAAGGTAGAAAGAACGGATTATGTACTCTGAAAATTAAACGCCATGCTTTGTCATGGAACATATTTGGATTTGTGTCCTTGTTACAGTTTCCATGGAAGATGCAATATGGGAAAATGAAATAACACGTGCCCACACCATGTGCCCCTGAGTGAGCTTATTTTTCTCAAAAAGGCAAGAAATGGGAATTTCCATGCATTAATGAAACAATACATATATACAAATCACCAAAAGAGTCACTGAAAAATATAGATATGTATAAAACATAATGGGGTCTGTTTAGACCCTATACAGCCAGGTTAGTGGCAAAAATGCATTAGTTGGACTGGGGTTCACAAACACATGGGCTGACGTCAAACGAGCACGTTTAAACCCTATTTTTTTCACACCCTTTTTTGCATTAAGAGGCTTACGGTAAACACCATTAAGGTTTCCGTAAATAGTTTCACTGGATTAGTAGACCAATTCAACATAATCCAAACATCAGCATGGGAAAACAAACCTTGTTGTGCAACTATATTGAACCATTGAGGTTTCGTTCACACACCGTTAAATTGCATTAAGTAACTAATGGTACTAATGCACGTTTGGGAACTATTTTGTCTATATCCAAGGAGCTGTCTTGGTATGCCGTGAGATTTTTGCCTTTCGATTTGTTTCTCCGGTCGCCTTTTACTTAATCCCATAGAAGTGGAGTATTGTTTTGAGCTTGTCTGTATGTTTCACAGTAGTTTCCATGTGTTCTGCTAGAACAATAAAAACTAACATTATAGTCGTTTACTACGAATGACGTAAATCCCAACCCATATCTGGGCATGACATACTAGTAATACTGGATAGCCTCCTGTGCAGACTCTCTAGTGGCCAATGCTTGTCTGTACAGGTGCGGCTAGAGCACTTTTCGGGGGGGGGGGGTATCAATACCTACCAAAGTTTTAACCCCCAACATGCAGGCCTCCCTGCATACACAACTCTACTCCGCCGAAACCGCAACGCTCGTAGAAGCAAACTCCGTCCGCCTGTTGGAAAGTCTGCTCGCGAGGCTAACACTAACGAGGTCCGTAACTCACTTTCGCCAACAGACCCGAACAAATACACGTCGAAACAAACAGTAAAGCCCTGCTTTGTCATGCGGCGTGGATTTGGAGGTCAGTGGAAGTGGTCCAAAGTGCCGCGGATCACACGGGTGTAGGTGTGTCTTCCAGGTAACATGTTGGTTACGCAGAATCCAGATCAGTTTCGCGACAACATGGCCCTCGAGCTTTCCAGATCTATTTTGCGACCTTTGTAACAGGTGAGACTGTACTTAAAATTTCAGATCGCTTCCAACTTTTTACACATGTCTGGAGAACTATAGCTGGTTCATTTCGAACGTCGGATGAAGTTGGTTTAGACCATGGAGCTATAATTCTCAAATCTCTGAATGTTTGAGTGTACATTAGTTTGTTAAACATTTGGTGTTAAATGGAGTTTATTTGTTTGTCTACAGTCTCTTGTCTCCGATGTTTAGCTGACTTATGACTTGTCTATGTTGTTGTTTGAATGTACGGACATGGACAGTTGCTAAAATATGACTTCTCTATTTAGTACTCTCCAATAAAACATGCACCATTTCTGGTAGATTGGATTTGATTTGCTACAATATAGTTAGGCTGTATACAATTCCATACAGTCACGACTTATAATAGTCTAGCCCTGGACAACATACAATATGATAAGAATGGTAGCAATGCTCATTCAAATGCATTAACAAATGTTACCTTTCCCTGGGCCATGCAAATTATACAAAGGGAGTTATTTCTAATATGGAGACGGCCTGTATTACTAACAAACGTAATATCTGTGATAAAAAACAGGTATGGGTTGTCATAAGAAACCATTCATGCCCAAGTTAGCCTGGTATTGGTTGCCCGAAGCAACGTTATTGGTTGCCTAAAGCAACCTTTATCAGACTTACCTGCCATGCATGTTTAACGTTAGTACTCTTAGTTAAATCTCTCTTTTCGTGCAGTGATTATTAATGGATGACAAGCACCCATGGCAAAACATTGCTGCTGTGCTTAAAAAAATATATCGCACCATGTGTAGTCTAGATCTTATTTGCACACGTACAATACCTGTTTTATTACAAAAATTTGAGACCTTGAACCTTTGTCCGATATCCGTTACATTGTGAAAATTTCAATTTCAACATTATAAATAGAAGCGCAAATTCTACGACCATGCAGCATTGCTACTGTTCGTACAGGGACAGTTACGCCGTGGTAACCAAGTCTTTCTTCTCTGCCAACCGTATCTTTGAGCACACACAGAAGGCTTTTGCTGTGGCCACACAGGCCCACACCTGTGATTAAGTGGCCACTTGCGCTACATAACGGCAACGTAAGGCAAGCAAAAGTAGTGAAAACATCATTTGAGGATTTCACGCGTACGCGGGCTCGGTCTATTTCTTTTAAAGTGTTTCGTTCTGTACCAGAAACTTTTCTCCTTTGGTGGCTACAAGATAAAATTGGCAAGGCAGCAACAAATTGGCAGGGCAGTATCCAATGCGCCACAGTTTGACTGGTGACAAAAATGTTACCGGTACAAAAAAGAAAGCCCGATAAAAAGGCCTAAAAAACGGCAAAAAATGGGCCGAAGCCTAAACTTCTGCTTGGAGAGTAACACGGCCTACATGTAATGGCGCGACCCGACATGACGACAGGTGTACACATTGCACGCACCAGTGGTAACCCGTTCAGTCACTCGCTCAAGCGGAAACGGCAACACAGAGAAAGACAAGAGGAAACCCCTAACCTACATACTAAAAGCTTTATGATGGCTTATTATGGCTACACGCATAGGTCTCTGTTGTGGGTCTTCTTTAGATTTTGTCCATTATATATTTCAGTCACCCGCAGTTCCTTCATTACTAGGCTGTTCCACTTCCCATATGACACAGGTTGGTACAATAGAAGGGGTGTTTTGTCTCCGTGCAAGTATTTTTGTTTGTTTGTTTCTTTGTCATGCCATGTCCGTGTTCTAACTTAGTTGTAAGTTTGGTTCTCCGACTAGCGTAAAGAAACTGTAATACAGCTTTGTTTTTATCTTTTTTCCAGTGCTCTAAGAAAGACGAAGAAATGATTCGATTCGGTGTAAATATGTCGACGAAGACCCGAAAAACGGTGTCGTTCATTTTAGGAGTCGTCATCGGGTTTGGGATTATGTTAACAATCAAGACCCAACTCCGAGGCAAACATGTGGGATGTCCTGCATTTTCTACATCAGAACACACGCCCGGCGTCCCCGTACAAGGTCGACAAGCAGGCAACAGGCCAGCACTTCACAAACATAAGGAGAATCATATCTATATTGGCGTCATAGCTGCAAGAAAGTATCTGGACTCAAGAGCCGTGGCAGCCTACGAAACTTGGGGTAAACAAGTTCCGGGAAAAGTAGAATTCTTCTCCGCCTACGACCCCAAACCTCAGATTCCCGGAGGAATCCCGGTCGTGTCCAACATTCCCGGAATCGACGACACCTACCCGCCACAGAAGAAGTCCTTCCTGATGCTGAAGTACATGCACGACTTCTACATCGACGACTACGATTGGTTCATCCGAGCAGATGATGACGTTTACATCCGCGTGGACAAACTACAGAAGTTCTTACGTTCGGTGAATTCCAGTGAACTACTTTACATCGGACAGCCGGGATTTGGGAAGGACGATGAGTTCGGTAGACTGGGGTTACGTGACGATGAGAACTACTGTATGGGCGGTCCTGGGATGATCATGAGCCGAGAGGTCCTGAGGCGAGTGGTGCCTCACATCTCCAGGTGTTTGAAAAACCTGTACTCATCTCACGAAGATGTGGAGATCGGACGGTGCATCACAAAGTTTGCGGGTGTTGACTGCACGTGGGCATATGACAGTAGAGATATATTTTTTAACGACTACAAACACTATCATACGGGTCGAATAGAGGAACTGAGGACCTCTGTTATCAACCGTGCAATCACCCTGCATCCCAACAAAAGACCAGAGTACCAGTACAAGCTCCATAACACGTTTCTGTCCATGAAGTTGGTCGACTTGAGGGAACGCGTTCTCGCGCTTTATCGCGAGAGTAGTAGCATGAGCAGTCTCCTCCGGCAGCCACCCAGGGGTTTGGTCTCGACCCTTGGAAAACGACCGTCTTTTACCAGATATAGACCAAGACATGTCAGCGACGTTCCAGTGTGGGAATATTTCACCAGGACGACATCGTACGAGTATGCAGCAAAGAATGGCCAGCCATCTAGAGGAATCTCCAAGCCCATCAAGGAGGCAATCGACGGTGCAATGCAGAAGGTATTGTATCATTTGCTGAGTTGTTCTTTCTTCAAGTAGCAGCTCGATCCGGAAGATATAATGTCTGCAATTCCGTTAATTCTCTGTACATGAAACTTAGTGTTATTGTATCAAGACCACCTGGATGCATTGTCGTCAGATTCCGCAAGGAGGTGCAGTTAATCGGCAACTTTGTTCTTTTCCCAGTAAGCAAGAGTGTTTTACAAATACAATTTGCTTGCATTATTAGGTGATAGAAAACATCAACGCAGGATCTGCACGATCACGTCGCAGTGTGAAGTACAACGATCTAAAGTACGGCTACTGGCAGGTCAACCCACAGGAAGGCGTGCGCTACCTGCTCCATTCTTACCTCACTCTCCGAGAGTATCACCGGTACCACGCCAGGAGAACGCTCACCGTCAGGAAGCAAGTGGTCGTCCAGCAGGCCTTCCAACCCGTCGAATTCGCTGAAGATGACAATTCAAGGCCACAAAACAGTTTCAATCACGAGAATTTGAATTCAAAGACATTTGACGATGCGACCGTTCACATCATAGTACCGCTGACGGGTAGAACAACGACTTTTGAGAGGTTCATTAGCAGTTACGAAAAGGTTTGTCTACAGACAAACGAGAATGCGAAGCTTCTGATAGTCTTATTCAAGGATCCAAACGAAGCGGAACATGAGAGTGAACAGGTTCAGCAACGCATCTCTACGTACCAGGTGAAATATCCTGAAGCTTACATCAAAGTCGTCGCCGTAGAGAGGGAGTTTTCTCGTGGGCTTGCGTTGGACATAGGGGCGTCTCAGTTCTCCAACAATTCTTTGTTTTTCTTCTGTGACGTGGACATTGTCTTTAAACAGGGCGTTCTACAACGCTGCCGCTCCAGAACTATAGCAGGTGAACAGGTCTACTACCCTGTGATGTTCAGCCAATACGATCCGCATATTGTTTACGGCGACCAATCAAATGCAAGCACGTCACCAATTAAACTCCACCCACAACTTCTGACACAACAGTCTTCACCAATCAGCAAGGACATAAGAAATAATTTTTATTACCATTTTAGCAAGGATTCTGGATATTGGAGGCACAGTAGCTACGGGATGGTTTGTCTTTCTGGAGAGGACTTCTTGCGTTCCGGAAAATTTGATCTGACGATTAGGGGTTGGGGGTTAGAAGATCTGGACCTCTTCAACGGGTTATTAGTCAGTGGGATGAAGATATTTCGTGTGACTGACCCCGGGTTAGTCCATGTGTACCATCCTGTCCACTGTGATCCTGAACTACCGCAGAGACAATACCAGATGTGCCTGGGATCTAAAGCTAATACGTACGGTAGTACTGTCGAGCTAGTCAGAAGATGGCAGGACATTCAATCAAGGGGATTAACATGAACAATGCCTTCAAATGAGGTACCAAACTAACAATTACTCAAGCAACTGGAAGATAGAATCCATTACGTTTCGTTAGTAGATTAATAAAGATTTTAATAAAAACAGCACCGATCATATTCTGAAGGGACTCCAAACTCTCTGAGATGAGGCAGATTCTGTAGGACAACCTGATTACTCACCTAACACTACAGGTGTTGGGGTGAAAGATTCTCATGTTTTCTGAGTAACGACCAAGCTTCACACAAAATACACACCCTTCTTATTCTGTTGAACAGCGACACATTCATACATCCAGCTCAGGCCAGCTCTTGATTTCTGCCGCCAGCTGCAGGTAAATAAATCCAATAGAATTCTGCCAAATACGTCACAGGGAAGTTCTGTTGCAGCACCGAGGACAGCAGCCTTCTAGTTGCGCCCCCACGCGGGACATTTAAGTAACGCACCTAGGGCGGCGTCTGGATAGTAATATTTGCCTTTGTACATCTAACTGCACGTGTTAAACAACAAGTGATGATATACACTAGGAAGTTCAAGTTGTTGACCACCTCAACTCTTGGTTGCTAACTCTATTTTTTGAAGGCATGACTATTTCTTGTTCTTTTCTTTCCTTTTCTTTTCTGGACAGGTATTAGATACAATCCGTGGACTAATAGTAGATTGTACTTAACCGGAAAGCTGTTAAGGCACAAAGTCGACCTTCTGTATGATCACGCTTCTATCCGGAGGCACGACCCGCTGTTAATACATGTTCAAAAGACGCCAACTATTTAGAAGAGCCGGGGCTTATCTGACAAAACCCATTATTCAAGAGTCACCTGTTTATGCGACTTCATTTCCAAGCGAATTCCATCTCCCCAGTGTGAGTCATGCGCATTTTTGTCCTGCTGACATCTCAGCCACCCACGCGCCGATTTGTTGAAGCTCAGATCTGTTCCGCAGGACGACAGATTTCGCAACGTTTCACGGTGAACCTTGCTTTGTCTCGTGTGGGGTAATTGCCATTTTGATAGCTGTGGGATAATGCCGAATTGCGCTACGCCAGAGAGCATGGATGCCAGACCCATAGCATACCGGGAGGTATAGCGAACCATTTTAATTCACCGTTAATCGTAGCCCCCTCTAACTCAACGAAGGTTAATTTGTCGTGAAGCGTAATTTGTCGCTTTAATCCTAAGTAAAGCAGAAACCCCCCATACAGACCCCCTCACGCTTTGCAGGGTAGCGTTGCCTCATGCACCCAACTAGCTGCAGTATCATTATCAATCGCTTTCGCAGGTCACGCGTTGTTATTACGGAAGGTCGCTAGCGTGTCTCCACCGCACCTTTTTAAAGCCGAAATGTTTGCAGGCGGCAAAGGCGGCATGGCTCTGAGGAAGACAAGGTGGGCACCGCGGAGAAAACAGGGCTGGGAAAAGGGTCTCATTTACGAGGAGCCCCGCGGTGTTATAAAGCAGTAAAGGTGAGAGAAAATCGCACCAGTTATCTTCAGGACATTCTATGGTTTCGTAGCCGACGTCAGTTCACTTTCTACTTACTGAACCACGGAAAATGTCCGGCTAAATTAGGTAAAAAGAGATACCTCTAAAACTTTCGGATATTCAAATCAATTGAACTAATGAAGTGTATCTTTCTATTTGCAACTTAGGACTAACGTTAGAGACGTCACAAGAAAAGACGTTCCCGCCACAACAATGACCTGGTGGACGGCCTGTTCCAGAAATATTTTAAGGTACTGTGCTGTGTTTTATGTTATACTTGGGCCGCTATAACGTTCGCGATACGGATGGGCCCGGTGATAATTAGCGGTACAGCCCGGGGTTCTATTGGTTATCACACGGGCTTCCAAATGTTCTATAGAAGAGATAGAATAATCGACTAAGCCGCGTGTGCCGCTTTCGAAAATTCGAATACCGGATTCGGACGCTGGAATTGATGTTGCATATTTTTGTTTAGGAACACTAAATTTTGGCACATGTTGCATGAAAGGCGTGTTGTCCCATGTGTGTATCACATAAATAATATACAAGTTGATAAAACAGCATGAACACGGTGTATTCCCCATCACCCTCGGTCCCAGCCCTCCCGAGGATCGGACCCGTGATCGGGCTGGTACCAGGGGTGATATGGAATGCACCGTATTGCATTCTGTATGTGTAACATTCCTGTTTCTTACCGCTTCACCAACAGTTTGACCATATTTAGGCCACAATATGCCAGCTTGCATTACGTTCATAGTCCTAATTACTTTTAATTTGACTTTCTTGTAGGGAAAGAGACATCTCTCAGCAGCTTGCAGGACCTGGAGATCATCACCAGAAGTTGTCCAGCCCCAAGTACACCATCTCCTTGGCCAGAACATCAGTGTTCCTGTGTGTGTCCTGTCAGAGGATCTGGTGGAAGTCAAATCAAGGATAGATTGTTAAACTTGAAGTGATAAATGACAAGTGATAAATGACAAGTGATAAATGACAAGTGATAAGCGTTAAACTAGTGATAAATCATAGATGATAAATGAGTGTTTAAATTTGACTGCGAATGGGGTTGAAGGTGTAAAATGGACACATCTTGTAGAAATGTGAGTGGGACTGACTAGTGGTTGGCATGATGTGAAGTTAATAATTTGTGATGTCCCATTTGTTGCTTGAACTTTCCTGCCAACAGTATCTCATGCCAACAGTATCTCATGCCAACAGTATCATGTAGACAGAGGAAATGGTAAGTTCTTGGTTATTGGCAAGGTATTTGAGCATGTTTTGTTCCAATCTTGAGTGAATGGACCTGGTTTGGGGTTAGCTCCTTTTGCATGCAGGGGTTTATTCAGTTTCTGGTATATTGGTAGCCTCTACCAGCCTTTTGGGCCGCAAACTGTACTCTCCAGGGGTGGGGGTGGGGTGGATGTGTACATGTGTACATGTGTATATACGTAGTCTTGAGGTCCTGAACCAAGACGGCACAGGGCCAGAAAGGATGATGGGTTGGGGGGGGGGGGGCAGAGTGAACAGCCTAAGTGGCCATGAGCTGACAGAACTGGGAAAGTCACTTGTTTTGTTCACTTGAAGGGCATGAGAAGTATAGAATGTTCAAATCATTATACCAACCATCTTGTTTCATGTAGCTCCCATTCTTTTCAGTGATGCACGCCTCTTATGACATCTGACCTTGCGTCCAGCCTTGTTAGCTTTAGTCTGCAGGTTGGGCTACGTAGACCCATGAAACGGGCTATACGCCTGACAAACGTAGCTCCGCGTGCATGTGAGTTGTGTGGGTGTGTGCGTTCGTGCATGCACGTGGGTGTGCGTGCAGCGTGCATACGCTTTCCTCAGATCACGCACGTGTGTATGTGTGTAATCAGAAGGGGGGAACTTACATGCTTTATTGATTACGAATTTCGAAAAATCCTCCGAACACGAAAACTTACTGTATCTATAGCTAACACTTTGCCACACCATTTAGTTTTCACGATTGGGTGAGGCCACCTGTTCAAGTATGACTTACCTCGATGGCACTCTTAAGCCACGGTCACAACCCGCCGTACGTGCTTCTGCGTGCTGTCTACGTGCAAAAACGTGGGCACACGTAGGGCATTCGTGCGTGGTGAGTACCGCCTCCGTACGGAATCCTACGGATTTTGGAGCACGTACGCAGACACGTCGTAGAACTTTAAGTGCATGTCACAGTGAGTGCATGTAAAACTTTTTCTACGTGCGGTCTGCGGATTCACCACCGCCCGTGCGAGTACGAGCGACGCGCTGCCCCGTACGTGCCGTGCGGAAGAAGCACGTGTGAGTACGGCGTCCTTACGGTACAGTTGCAATCGCACAGAGATCGTACGTTGTAAGCACGTACAACTCACTTGCCACTTGCGCAACGTACGATGCACGCAACCGCTCACGGCCAGACTTGGCGTGCAGACCACACTCTTACACTCATCCGTGCGAGTGACGTGCGTAGACGCCACACCTTCCCCGGAAAAAACGTAGCAGACGTAGCCTCCAAAAAAACGTACGGAGAAAAAGCACGTACGGCGGGTTGTGACCAGGGCTTTAGGTGTGTTTGACTGTACGTGTAGTTAAATCACCCGCAATTTGCAACGATTTAGTTGTTGACATGTTGTTCTTGAGTTTTATTTGCCATGGAATTGTTTCACACTCGACATCGGACAAGTCGGAGGGGATAGACTGACGGACCAACTGTACTATAGTACGTGCGTATCCACAGTGGTGCGTATCGGTGGCGACATTTCGGAAGCGCCCGAGGCTAGCCTGTAGTACATTTACTAGGGATTTACCCTGCACCGCATACCTCAGCAAATTCATCATCCCAGGCTTTTGCACATGTTTCCGCAGATTTAATCACTTTCCTAACCTATAATTAGGCCATGTTGATTTGATTATATGGATGACATCCGCGCGCGCATGAATTTTCGGCCATTTCCAAAAAAAAAAGTTTTCAACCATACTGTAAATCGTGCAAAACAGTTGCTAAATGAGCAAAAATATACCATAAGTGGCAAGGAAACATTTAGAAACGATACCAATGTCGTAGAATGCCAAAATCAAAGGAAAAAAGACAAAAAATGTAAAGAAATGAATTCGAAGAGTAGATTATTCGCCATAACATATTCTGTGCCATTTGTTCAACCTTCATGACCACGTAGATTTCATAGTGAAAGCAACTTTTTTTGTGTGCAAAACTTCTTTTTTATTCGCACGCGCGCATCAGTTTTGGGGTTCCCAGAGGATGTCATCCATATAATCAAATCAACATGGCCTTATTCTGACAGACTGAGTCCCGGATCCTAATAAGTAAAGGTACAGGTAGTTGAGTAGCCTTTTGAGACGGTAGGGGCAGTGTATCGTACGTGATCGGTATCCATACCTCACCTTCTACTGCATTTTTACCTCCCCAACCAAAGTCAGGTAACCATTTTACACCTGAAGGTGGGGTTAAGAAGGTCGTGTTAAGTGCCTTGGTCAAAGACACGATGTCTAGTTAGGAATGCAAGGAATCGAACCCGCGCCCTGGCGATCTCGTGTCCGCTCGCCTTAGACACTCCTTTCCTACAGCACATTTTCTAGAACTGCTCCACCCAGTTTCCTTTCAAGTCAGCGACTGAGTGA